AGCTCGAACCTTTAAAAGAAAGTAAAGGAAATGGGATAAACGAATCGAGAAATTGCTTGTTTTCTTCTGCAAAACAGGGACCCTCGTGGGGGTCTGTAAAGTTTCAAAACCACTGGCTTCGGTTATTATTCAGACAAACCCCCACCCACCCCCAAAAAACAAACTACCAAACACGGCAGGTATTATGTTGGAAACCCCCCTGTCTACCTTTCTCTCTTTTTTAATTGGTATCACCCGATGCAGGACAGTAAAGCCACTAAGTCACAAGGGGTTACAGGGCGTGGAAGAATTAGGAACAGAAACATTAATAAAAAGAGTAATCAGGAGGACAGTAGATATCAATTGACATTACATTTAATTATTTGCAAAATAAAGTTGACTGGAAAGCATGGAGCCGGAAGGGTGTTCCACAAGCGATAAGTGCGAGAGAAGAAGCTGTTAAGATAGAACTTACGGCTACATGTAGCCAGCTCAACTGTATGCTGAAGAGATCTCGGAGCCAGTCTAGTACTGCGTTTAAAGTCATGAAGTCTAGGTTGAAACAATTACCATGAAAGTATTTATAAAAAAGAAACAGACAGACAACCTTACGGTGGTGGGAAAGTGACTGAAGCCGAGCTGCCAGATCATGGCCGATAATATTGCTGATTCTTCTTTGGAAATTACCAAAGAGTTCAGGGTAAACTGCAGGGCCATCGGACCGTATATGACAGCAACATTCTAAGCGAGGACGAATGGTAGACTTATAGATTTGTAAATTATTTGTGTAATTATTATTAATAGTAGTAGCAGTTATAGTAGTAGTAGTGGTAGCAGTATCTGTTGGTGTCATTTTATAAGCATAAGCACTTAGCTATTTACTTGTAGTACCTGTAAAATTCTACGATTTTGTTATTTGAATTTTCTAATGAATAATAATTATTACGTTAATGATTAAATGAGTTCCCTGCGAGATCAACGACCATAAAATAACTGTGGATATATCATATTTTTGAAATAGGATATATTTGACAGAGCCAGTTGACGGTCACAATTCCGCGATAAAATGACGGATGTAGCGAAGTCTTTTCATTGGTCCTTGAATTGACTAATCAAGAACGACCAGCAAGGCGTGATTTTCAGGTAAATAGTAGCCCTCACCCACGAAAAAAATTTTTTTTGATTTGGTACCCTGCAGATGGCCTGAAAAATAAAGAAGGTTAAGATAAAAAAAAAAATTCTCTCACTTATCTTTCTCTCTCCATTCGCTGACGAATAGTCGGCAACATTTCCCTGTCGGAAAAAAATTGCCGATACAGACTACACACGTCGTGCAATTTACAAAGCCGAGAAAACCTACCGCGTGATAAAAATTGAATTCTGATTTTTAGTGAGAAATCGTGACGGTACGACTTTGGAAGAATTGACCAGACGACAACTGATGCAGGCACTCTATGAAGTGATGACTGTAGCCCGTCGGAACACCAGCGCGAGTCATGGAGTAGTTAATGACAATGGCACACAAATATACGAAGTCTAATGTACCCACTATGACTCCAAGTCTGATAAGTGTATAGCAGGCAAATGCTTCACAGCCGAACGTGCGTGATATTGTTTGATGTTTTCCTAAAAGCATTGCATAACGTTATAGGTGGGTTCCCGGTTAGAAATACCTTCAGGGCGGTTCGACCAGTCCGCTCAGATAGTCTCCGATTGAATGTTTTCCAAAGTAATTAGATCAGTGGTTTTCCAACTTCTTCTATTCATTGACTGATAATGTTTTTTATGCCTGATCTTAGCCGTTTACATTTCCAAATCAAATAAACAGTGATATTTCCCCATATAACCTTGAAAACTGCCTGTTTTTAAAGCCAAACCAGTTAAATTAAATAAACTTCAGGAAAAAAGAAAAGATCTGCGGATAGAGGGCAAAAGGGTTGAAGCAATGTGTTACCTTTCATTGAATTTGTAGCCCTACAAAATCCCAATTTGTCTCCTTGGCCCCCATAACATTTATCAGCTCTCCTTTGGCCATGTGATCTCTGGTTAAGAACCGTTCATCTAGATATTCAACTCAAGTTAACTTGGCTGTTTCAACCTTCAAATAAAGGAAAAAAGAAAACACTACTTTCACACTACTACCGCTCATGAACAGTGATGCAAAATCTGTGCGTCCTGGGTAAGACGATAAACTACATCCGCTTCTTGGGTAAGACGATAAACTACATCCGCGTCTTGGGTAAGACGATAAACAACATCCGCGTCCTGGGTAAGACGATAAACAACATCCGCGTCCTGGGTAAGACGATAAACTACATCCACGTTCTGGGTAAAACGATAAACTACATCCGCATCCTGTGTAAGACGATAAACTATATCCGCGACCTGGGTAAGACGATAAACTACATCAGCGTCCTGGGTAAGACGATAAACTACATACACGTTCTGGGTAAGACGATAAACTACATCTGCGTCCTGGGTAAGACGATAAACTACATCCGCATTTTGGGTAAGACGATAAACAACATCCGCGTCCTGGGTAAGACGATAAACTACATCAGCGTCCTGGGTATGACGATAAACTACATCAGCGTCCTGGGTAAGACGATAAACTACATCAGCGTCCTGGGTATGACGATAAACAACATCCGCGTCCTGGGTAAGACGATAAACTACATCAGCACCCTGAGTAAGACGATAAACTACATCCGCGTCCTGAGTAAGACGATTAACTACATACGTCAGCAAGGCCTCTGACCAAGAGTCTTTCAAGAGCGTAGAACCACCTCTTAATTGTTGTTCTTCCCAGGTCCCCCTATATATGACATAGAATGAAAGAGATGCGTTCTCTTTGCATAATTTTTTATGTTAAGTGATACTTAACATGTACACTATTTATATTTATTTTACATTGATAATATTCTCCTGTGGAATAATGTACATCGACGTTGGAAAGTATCAGACCGTGTGTTTGTAATACGGAGAAATAAGGAAAAACATGCGAATATCAACAGAATGGATCCAGAATGCAAAGCTAACAAAGCCATGGAGTTTTACTTTGAAAAGACTGACGTCAGAAAGTTCAGAGGTCATCCAAGAATCACCATAGTTACAACGATGAACCTAGACATTCAAAGAACAAGGTAGAAATATCCCACTTTTCCTTTGGAGAAGTTTACAATCAAGGAAGATCTGCAACGAATCCGCAAACACGCAGAGGACACAGAAGGCTGGCAAAATATTGTCGAATCAGTAGACAATGTCACCGAAGATGAGAGAACATGTTAATTCATGACCTCAAATCGGACGTGTTTTGATGATGATGTAGACATCTCAATTAGCGTATCATTGGCTGAGATGTTTGAAAAGTACGTTCTTCTGTATCTATCTTCAGATTTTGAATAAAAAACTCGAATGCGGATTTTCAAAGTCGTTTGCTTCTTACACAGGCTGTTGATATTTATCTATCCATTTTGACTAAAGAAAAAAAGATATGCAAATATCACTTATCGCCGCTTTACCATACTCCTTGTAAAAGAGGTTGCGACAGTGACACAAGCTCTCTGTAAGAACTCAAGAGAGACCGTGCCACTAGGTGCAAGTCTTAGTGGGCGGGATTCCTGTTTGGAAAGAACATAATATTAAAAATATGAATTGTTTTGGCAGTGGTGGCGGTGGTTATTTAAATGAAAAAAAAAATTCTCCAAGTGGGAATTCCTGTTGACCTGTTAGCGGGGGAGAAATCATTAATGATTGTATTGCCAGAGAAAAAAGAGAAAAGCGTTTAACACAGGATGCCAAGTAATATGTCTGTCTCCTTGTAGAACGGTTGTAAAATAAGGGATTGTCTCTCAACGAACACAAACGTGTGTGTGTGTGTGTGTGTGTATAAAAATTAAGCTATAAAAAATGTATTTAAAATGACAAAATAATAATACGAATAATGTTTCATCCATTAAAATGGATAATTAGGGTCTATTTCTATTAAATCAAAAACCTTTTCTGTTTTCTATGCATATTTACTTATGTCTATGTGTACAGTTAATTATATGGAAATTACGTTTATTCATTAGTTGGAAATACAATAAATTGTCTGTATGTGTACAAATATTTGTTTTCCTTCATATATATATATATATATATATATATATATATATATATATATATATATTTAAAATTTGTGCATTTAGGCAGCAATCCTTCTTTCATGTACATTTTAATTTGTACATTTTCAAAGTTAATATTATTAAGTGTTGTTTTTTTATTTTTATTAATAAGGCTTCCATTATTTTAGCCTTTTTATTTTGCATGTAGATGATGCAATTATATTTGTGTTGTCACCAAGCATGTTACGAATAGCGTCCGGTAGGTCTCCATGAATGTTTAAATGAGATCTAATTGAGTTATGGTCAGAAAGGTGTAGATTCATTCTACACCTTTCTGACCATAGCTCAATTAAAAAAACAACAACACGTAATAATATTAACTTTGAACATGGACACAATATCTTGACCGTGTTTTGAAAAATGAAAACATTTTATAAAACATACATACAACAAACTATTCTTATTAAACAGTTAAATTTAATCCTTGCAAATGGCTAAATGTATAGCCGAAAGCGCTCGGATAAAAAGAATATTCGGGCAGTTTTATATAATTTATCATTCGAAAAGAAAAAAAATTAGATCGCATGAGAAATTGTATGAAAAAAAATAAATAAAAGCACCTTTGTCTGTCGTATTCAATGAAATGTGCATATGTATATGCATATATATATATATATATATATATATATATATATATATATATATATATATATATTATTGTTATTGTTTGTTGTTAGCATTATCATTATTATTATTATTTAATAAAATTTCTTGAATATTCAGGACGGTAGAAAAAAAATTATAGTTTAAAAATTACACGGCGCGTCTACTCAAATATGGGTATCCATTAAAAATATCATTCAAAGTGATAAAAATGTATCGGATTAATAAATAAAAAATCCATTATTTCTTTAGAATATCTATCTCTCTATCTATTTATCTATCTATCTATCAGGTCATCTCATAAGTTTTGTCCGAATTTTGAATAAAGAAAACAAGTGACCATTTAATTACAGATTCAATCAAGAATGTATTTTCCCTGATTATCTATGACTACCTTCCATCTATTAACAAGCATACATTACTGTAAAATTCTTTTGGCTTTGATTCGAAGAACTCCCGAATGTCAGTTTTAACCTCTTCCTGTGTTACAAAAGCTGTTTCTTTCAAATGATTCTGTAAGCTACGAAACAAATGGTAGTCTGAAGGAGCAAAATCGGGAGAATAAGGTGGATGAGGAATTTTCTCCCAACCAAGTTCTTCGATATTTTGTGACGTGATTCTTGCTGTGTGGGGTCGCGCATTTTCCTGATGAAACATCACCTCTTTTCGATTCACTGGAGAAGGTTTTTTTACTCAAAGCTTGGTTCAAACGCTCTAATTGCTGACAGTATATTTGAGCATTAATTGTTGCATTAAGTGATAAGAATTCAAAGTGGATTATTCCTTGGCGATCCCACCAGATTGAAAGAAGAACCTTTTGCCCATGAAGTTCCCTTCTCGGCTGTGGATGGGGTCCTTCCCTTTACCAAGCCACTGTATACGACGCTTAACATTTTGATAAAAGATCCATTTTTCGTCGCCAGTCACAAGTCTATCCAAAAAAGGTGAAACAAGTTGGCGAGAATGGAGAGAAGAGCAGATGTCAACTCGGGATTTGAGGTTGTTTTCAAAACAATTCATGAGGCACCCATTTTCCAAGTTTAGGAACTTTTCCAAGTTGTTGAAGATGACGATGAACAGTAGTATAGTTTGAACTGAGAACCACTGCCAATTCCTCAACTGATAAAGCAGGATTTTCTTCAAGGGCTGCTTCAAGAAGCTTTTCATCAAACTCAACTGGACGTCCGGTTCGATCTTCATCTTCAAGGGTGAAATCTCCACCTCTGAATTTTGCAAACCATCTTCTGCAAGTTCTTTCATTCACACATTCCTCTCCATAAAGTAATTGAATGTTTCTAGCCGCTTCGGCTGCTGAGTTTCCATTCTTGAACTCATAAAACATTATGTGCCTTAAATGATTCTTGGGTACTTCCATATTAACAGGGTTTTAATCAAACAAAATTTAATTTTTCTTGTTCTCTGAAATAAAATCTAAACAAAAATAATGTTCAGCTCCATTAGACATTATAAAATACTCTTTAAATTTCATTCATTTTAAAAAAAAGTTAAAATTCGGACAGAACTTATGGGATGACCTGATATCTATCTATCTATCTATCTATCTATCTATCTATCTATCTATCTATCTATCTATGTATGTGTGTGTGTGTGTGTGTGTGTGTGTGTGTGTGTGTGTGTGTGTGTATGTGCATAAGTCTGAGTGTTGGGTAGGGATAGTAAGAGATCGGTTATAGTTTACGGCAAGCCATTCTCTTGTGTTTACGCGTGAAGTCCTTGTTCAGATTTGGGCGTGTGGCATTTAGCCCCGGCGCGGGCGTGTGTATGTGTGGCCGCATATGTGCTTGCATGTGTAGTGTGGAGGGCGGAAGTAGTCTGCCTTGGTTGATGCGGCCAAAACGTTAAAAAGGGAAAACGTCTGCCTTTATATTCTTTTGAAGGATATTTCCAGAACATCAATTCTAATCTTTCTTTTTCACCTGGAAGTATTTAGCCAGCACTAAGTGTAAAACAAATAATAATAATAATAATAATAATAAAATAATAATAATGATAATAATAATGATAATGATGAAAAAAAAAGTGCCTCCTTATTGATATGGCAGTCCCTGTAGACTGCAATGTATCTTTGAAGATATTCAAAAAGCTGTCAAAATACAAGGGCCTTGAAATCGAAATCTCAAAAATGTGGCACATGGGAACATCAACAATCCCTGTTGTAGTTGGAGCCCTAGGATTAGTTGGAAAAAATTCCAGTAGACTAATTGAAAGGGATTCCTGGAAGTCCATGCCTCAAAGAGATACAAAAAATTGTTCTGACAAGTACAGCCCACACTTTACGAAGGGCTTTATCTATGTAATTTTTATTTTTTTGTTAGTGGAAAGTGTCATGATGCCATTTCTAACCCGAGGCCCGACAAGAAATGTGTAAACGCCAGAAATCAAAAGAAATAATAATAATAATAATAATAATAATAATGATAATAATCAGTGACGACGTAGTTATCGACTTCGGATTAGATAAATGTGAAAAAGTAACATTCAAGAAAGGTAGAATTTCAGAAACACCCTTAATAGATTTAGATTTTGTCAGAAAGATTAGGGAACTGGAGCATGATGTAGCTTACAAGTACCTAGGAATTAGCAAAGGAGATGGCATACAACACCTCCAAATGAAGAAGGAGGTAAGATAGGAGTACTACAGGCGTATACGTCTAGTACTAAATACTGAGCTAAACTCAAAAAACAAAATATCAGCCATAAACACCTTGGCTGTCCCTGTGGCGCAATACAGCTTTAATGTCCTTAACTGTACAATAGCTGAAAATAAGCGAATGGACGCCAAAACGAGAAAGCTTCTCACTTGCTACCGCATGCATCATCTTAAAGCTGATGTTGATCGTTTGTATGTGCCCAGATCCGAAGCAGGCAGAGGATTAGTTCAATTAGAACTGTCCTACAAAGCTACAACAATTGACCTCCAAAGATACTTGGAAACTACAGAAGACTGGATGAAGGTGTGTGTCAAGGAACATGAAAGTAGTAAGCGTCTTTACTCTGTAATAAAGGAAGCCAACAAATTCAAAATGGAGTTTGGAATGGGCGCAGAAATACAAGTAAAGCACAATACACCGGCTGAAGTTGCAAAATACTTAATAAAGAAAGCAAAGACAAATGCAACCGACCAGATACAGAAAAAATGGCAAGATAAACCGCTTCATGGCCAATACTCTGCCTGTACCAAACAAGCTGACGTATACAAAACCCGTACCCATCAGTGGCTACGTAGTGCAGGGTTAAAAGCTGAAAATGAAGGTTTTATCCTTGATGCACAGGACCAATGCTTGTTAACTAGGAATTATCAAGCACATATAATAAAATATTGCGGTAGCCCAAAATGCAGATTCTGTGATAAATATCCAGAAACGATTGATCATCTTGTATCAGGTTGCACGATATTGGCACCCACTGAATATAAAACCCGGGCAAAGAACAAAAATTCCCCGAGCCCCGCAACCGTCGGTTACTCTGGCCTCGGTCCGTGCACCGATCCTTCTCTCTAGTGCATTGAGAAGGCGCGGCCTCGGGCAGCTGTTCCCCAGGGCCGGCACCTCTCAGTATAATTTTCCTCAATGGCGACTCTGTCCTTTGATGGAATCGCCCCTGAGTGCACTCTGACCAAAGACAGAGACGCAACTGAGAGATGATAAATAAATAGACGTGGAATTACTCAAAAAGAGTAATTTATGTGCTTTTGCAGGTGTATGTATGTAAGAAAGTGTCTATTTTATGCCTTAATTGTCGTATACTGTAATGTCGCCTTGTTTTTGTTTGTCACAGAAAAATTCCGATTGAAAACTAGAAACCGTTTATTTAGTATTCGTTCTCAAACAGATAAGATATATATATATATATATATATATATATATATATATATATATATATATATATATATATATATATATATATATATATATATATATATATATATATATATATATATATATATATATATACCTCCTCAAGGCGGCGTAATGGTTAGCAAGCTTGTCTCTTTAGAACATTACGACTGAGTAGTGAGTTCTATCCTCACTGGGTGCTCCATACTTTCAGCCTTGTGCCACATCTAAGCTACGCTTGGAAAATCGCTATATAGGGCACTTCCATGTAATGGTTAGCAAGCTTGTCTCTCTAGGACAATTACGACTGACTAATGAGTTCGATCCTCACTGGGTACCCCGTACTTTCAGCCTGATGCTATATCTAAGCTACGCTTTGAGAATCATTGGGCACCTCGAGGTTGTATTAATGGTTAGCAAGTTTGTCTCGCTAGAACAATTACGACTGAATAATGAGTTCGATCCTCACTGGGTACCTCCTACTTTCGGCCTTGTGCCACATCTACGCCATGCTCGGAAAATCACTATATTTACATATATATTGTGTGTTTGGGTAGCAATCCCTCTTTTATACAGGTTTCATTTATTGCTGCCATATATGCCCCTGCTATTTACCTAGAGCTCTTTCATAGGATCCAAAGAAGAATCAGCAATGTTATTGATCCTGATCTGGCAGCTCGGCTTCAGTCAATTACCCACGGCCATAAGGTTGCCTCTCTGTGCCTTTTCTATAAATAATTTAATGGTAATTGTTCAGATTAGCTCTTCATTATGGTACCTAGACTTCATGAATTGAAGTGCAGTACTAGACTTGCGACGAGGATCCATCATTTGAAAGTTGACTTGGCTAAATGCAACCGTAAGTTGTATGGTAACAGTTTCCTTTCTCGTACTTCTCGCTGGTGGTACTTCCTTCCGGCTCCATGCTTTTAGCAAAAATTTAAATGCAATGTCAATCGATATCTACTGGCATCTTGGTTACCCTTTTCTCTTTCAACTCATTATTAGTTTTTGTTCCTAATTCCTCCCCCTGTAACCGCTTGTGTCTTACTGACTTTACTGCTTTGCTTGGAGTGATAACGATGTAAAAAAAAAAAGAAAAAAGAGTAAAGACAACTGAGAAGGTACTGTAATTTCAGTTTTTATTCACTTCTTCTTGTTTTCGTATTACACATTTTATGTCCAGAAAAAAAGAAATTTTATATAGAAAGTTATATCCGAATACAAGGTTGGTATATATGGAATAAAATTCCAGTAACCAAAAACACTATTTTTTTTAAAATGCTCAATACAAAGTAGAACGAATAATATTTTTTAAAAAATTATAACATAAATATATTATAACATCACTACAAAAATAGCCATTTTGTTTCAACACTTCTGGTGTCTTGTTAAGTGATAGTGTTGATTCTAAAATTAAAAAAAATATGGGGTATGAAAACGGATCGTGTGTATAGCAAAAAAAGTTAGAGACATCGAAGAACACAAAGACAGAATAAAAGGTGTAATATCAAACATCCCGCGTGAAACGTGTGTCAATGCACTTAATTGTACTGTTGATCGCAGGTTTTTGTGCATCAATCGCGCTGGTGGACAGATTGAAACTGTTCAGTAAACTCTGAATAAATGATTCCTCTTTTACTAGTGTTAGTAAAACAAATATGGCGCCAGTTTGTTTACATTGCGCAGATCAGTACGAAAAGTGATTGCGCAGGTCAGTGTTGCCAACATTGTGTGAAAATTTTGTGTGAATTGATTGGACAGTTTTTGAAATATTAGAAAAAGACTTATCTCGATAATAAAATGGCACGCAGTGTATATATATATATATATATATAGGGTATAATATATATATATATATATATATATAATTTTGTATATATATAATTTTGACTCACCCAATATATATATATATATATATATATATATAAAAATCAGCAACAATATTTACAGACTTTCATTTATTAAACATTAAATTACATCACTTAGGATCTTCCATAATTTACTTCGACTTTCAGTTAGCGTGATGTATATTTTTCCTAGAAGTTCAAATATACCTTTGTGCCATGCTTTATCAAATACTTTTGTATAGTCTATGAAACAGATATACAGCCTTCTGATATCACTCCAATCATAAATATTGCATTTCTTGTTCCAGTGCTTTTGTTCTATTTTGGGTCTAATTCTGTTGTACCCTCCATTCATCAGAATCCAGATGATGAGCTTAGTTAGGTGGCTCATTAAGCTGATTGCCTAATGGAGTTTGCTTTCATATATATTCCTTTATATATATATATATATATATATATATATATATATGTATTATTAAGGTAAAAATCGCTTTTTTATGCAAGTTTCATTACAGATAACTGATAAGACACTGCGATTAAGCATTATATTTGGATTACACACTTTGTTGATCTAGAAAAGAAAACATTTTCATACGAACACATAAAAAATTGAATAAAAGGCGTAATCGGAGTACCTTGTTAGTCGCTTTCAATAAAACTTGTATAGATCCCTCTCTTTGACAAACAATATGGCTTCCGTCTTGTCAGATCTACCGTTGGTGTGCTAACGGCCATCAGTGAATATGTATATCAAGCTCTTGATAATAACAACGAAGCTCGAGCTGTAACTCTAGATATCTCGAAGGCGTTTGACAGGATTTGCCACACTGGTCTTCTATGTAACCTCCATGGCTACGATATTAATGGACGATTGTTTGATCTAATCCAACCATTCCTATCAAATCGTGAAAAGAAGGTCGTTTTGAACGGTCTCGCTTCCAGATCCTTTCACACGAATGCGGGTGTCCCACAATTCTCTATCCTGTGTCCTACGCTGTTTCTGATCTTCATCAACAATCTTCCTGATGTCATCAGTTCCCAAGTAGGCCATTATGCTGATGACACGACTATTTACACCTGTCTCAATAGCAAATCCATCAAAGTTAACCCGGCTGCTGCACTTGAAAAGGACCTCCAACCTGTGACTATCTGGGAGCAGGAAATGGCTGGTAAATTTTAATGCTTCCAGAACAAAATTGCTCCCATTTAAGCTATACTCCTGCAGAGTACCCCACTGCGCCTTTTTGGCCACACGTTTTCACCTGACTAGAAGTGGAACTGGTCTGATGCTCCTGTTATTCATCTCGACGTTCTTGACAAAATCCAAAGAAGGATCTGCAATGTAATTGATCCTGACTTGGCATCTCGATTTCAGTCACTTTTTCACCGCCTTTTATTTTCATGGCAACTGCTCTGACGAGCTTTTTTCACCTGGTATGCGGCCTACGTTTAGGCATGCTACTAGATTGGCATTTAGGTCCCACCCTTTTACTGTTGAATTAGTTAAATGTAACCGCCATTTCTACTCCAACAGTTTCATTTCTTGCACTTCACGCCTGTGAAACTCCCTTCCGTTTTCTTGCTTCTCTCATAACTAAAATCTCCAAAATTTTAAATGCAACGTCAATCACCAGCTTCTATCCTTTCTTCAGTCCCCTCTATGCTCAGTCATTTCTCTCAACATCACTCTTTAATTCCCTGCGTACCACAAGTGACATTCCTGGCGTACTTGGAGTGAAATGATTCTATCTATCTATCTATCTATCTATCTATCTATCTATCTGTCAGTCTGTCTGTGTGTGTGTGTGTGAATTCCGTGTTTAAATCTATTGCACCAGTTAGCAAGGAAAATACTAGCTATTACGTCCCATCGCACAGTAAAGCGACAAATTCATTACATTTTCTCTAGCCACGTTCATAAAAAAAATTAAATTAAATTAATAACAATTTCGAACAAGGAAGAAAGAACAGGCAAATAAATTATCAAACAATATACACATTTGTTTAAATGGAACTGTCGGGGGAGAAATTCGTACACATCTGGGATTAATCTTTGCAATTAATCTATTGACCCGGTGAGTGCATTTCACCCCAAGATAAATACATAAACAACTACTACTACCACCATCACTATTACTACTACTACCACAATGGCGAAGCATTTATTATACTTTTCACCTAGACCATTTACGTAATAATAATTCATCCTGTTTCCATTAGAAATATACAATATATATATATATATATATATATATATATATATATGGTTGATATGTCAGGAAGTAGTATATATATATATATATATATATACTACGTCTGTAGAAGTAGATATATATATATATATATGTGATAGAAATCTTTAGCAGGATTTTGAATAAATATAATTAAGTAATTCATCGAGTCTTGAATAAATCTCAACAGAATGCAGAAACCACCGGACGGCCGTTTCATCCTATATTTGGGATTCATCAGCAGTGTGCATCCACTACCGAGAATTGAAACCCGAACAGTTACGATATCAGGCAAACGCCATACCAACGGGCCTCGGTGACGAAGAGTGAACGAATTAGACTCGATATAGCGCCGCTCGATCACAAATTCCGTGGTGGAACTCATCCGAGTTACACATAGGACTGTGACTCCAAGAGCCACGACTACAATGCCCAAGCCGCTCTATCTAGAGCATTTGAAGCCGGTTCAAGCAAGGATAGACAAGGATAGAAATTATTAGGAGGATTTAAGATAGACAAAATTAAGTAATTCATCGTATATATATATATATATATATATATATATATATATATATATATATATATATATATATATATATATGTGTGTCTGTGTGTGTGTGTGTGTGAAAAGTGTGTGTATATAAATATAAATAAATATTTGTCTGACGATCACAAAAGCGTGAAACCCAGGGTCACAAACTCACATCAATCCAACCAAAATATATATGTGTGTGTGTGTGTGTGTGAAAAGTGAGTGTATATAAATATACATGAATATTTGTCTGACGATCACAAAAGCGTGAAACCTAGGGTCACAAACTCACATCAATCCAACCATATATATATATATATATATATATATATATATATATATATATATATATATATATATATATGGTTGATTTGTGAGGTAGTAAACTTCCTGATATTATCGGTCAGGAGAAGGCGATCCCAGCGTGCGACACCTTTGCAAAATCCCTGAAAACCATACCACACGTTGACCCAAGGCTTGTGAGTGAAATTGGGGCCGTCGATAGCTGTGCTAGCAAGAAGTCACAAGTCATCGTGACCGAGTGTGCTGTTCTTGTTCTCTTCCCAAAAACTGTAGCTAAAGTCTGCTCAGCATAGTTGAAGTATAAACCACAGCTGGGCTCTTTGGGTGTTGAATAAACACAAATGCGCCTGAGCAAACGTCTGCATTAGGGATTGGCTAGCCGCCCTAATAGACTGGTATCCTCAAATACGAGTGGCCAGTTATTATTTAGTTTATATATATATATATATATATATATATATATATATATAGATAGATAGATAGATAGATAGATATAGATATATATAGTTATAGATATATAGATATATATATACGAATGTGCTCACATTAATATTTTATGCCAAAATATATATATATATATATATATATATATATATATATATATACTTGTCTCTGCTCACACACAGACGAATGTGGTCACATTAATATTTTATATTTTATATAAATAATATATATATATATATATATATATATATATATATATATATATATAAATATAAATATATATATAGTATCTTGGAAGCAAAATTCAATTAAATAAATTTTATTAAGTGTAACTGACAAGATCTGTCCGTTTAATTTGTGAGTGCATTTTTCTAATTTTCAAATAAGTTCTTTCACGTCAGGATCAAAATTGTTCAAAGTCCAAGAATTAAATGTTGCCAGTTCTGTAGACTTTATGTATTGTTAGTTATTCAAATATATATATATATATATATATAGCATAAATAACGTTATGTGAAGGATTGATCTCAAGCAATGTGAAACTGTTCCGTATTCATTTACTTTGGTTTGGTTTAGTTTTACGACATATCAACCTCAATGAGTTATTTAATGTCGACAAGATTTTTATTGCTGGTAATATTATTAAAAAATTTATTGCTGGTAATAATCTATTGCTGGTAATAATTTTTTTCTTCAAAATACATTGCTGGTAATATTTTTTTTACAAAAATGCATTGCTGGTATTAACACCTACACTTTATAGCGTTTTGACCCCAGTTTGGTGGTTAAGTATTTTCCATAGCTGGGACCCTAACAGGTGCTACCACTCCGGGTCAGGATGGACCTGCAAACACCAGCAATTAAGATTTGGTCCCACGCTCTTCAAAACCTCCTGTCAGAGGCCTTGCTGTCGGATGTATTTTATCGTCTTACCCAGGACGCGGATGTAGTTTATCGTCTTACCCAGGACGAGTATTGATTCGGATTTGCAAAAACTAATTCGAAAGTTAGGGACAGGCAGATCTTGTCAGATGAATGTAATTAAACTTGTCCAATATAAGCATACGGTGGAGCAATAGATAGCGGCTCGGATTGAGGAATCGGAGATCCGAGTTCGAATTCTAGTCGAATCTATTACATTCACTTACGTGCTAATACCCTTGGGAAAGGTATGAATCCTCTTCTTCCTCCCTCCCCCAGTTATGGGTAAATAGCAAGACTGACTGTTTTTTAATTAAAAAGTATTAATTACATTGTACCGGCCTGTATATCGGCAGAAAATTCGTAGGAAATATGTGCTCTCCAACAGTTATCTGACCTGACGTGCTGTTAAACATTTAACTACAGAGAAGCGTTTGCTTTGAAAATGATCGATCGAGAAAAATCATCGAAGGTATGTGTTTATAAACAGTAATTCGGACTTTGCGAACCAGCCAGACGCTTGTCTGTAGTTGAATGGTTAACAGCACAAATTATCAAATGATGGTTCTCATGAAGGTTATGGGTTCGATTCCTGTCGAAATTTCTCTTGTAATTAATACTGTTTAATTAAAAAACAGTGTATTTACTTAAATATACTATATCTGTAAAAATAACGTATAAACAGAAAATATATTAAATAATTGTCGAACTTAACCTATTTTGTGACACACACACACATATATATATGTATATATATATATATATATGTGTGTGTGTGTGTGTGTGAAAAATATATAGAAAATAGGAAAGAACTCGTTAGGTAAATAATCCAAAGTTCTTTCGTATTTTTGTTATTATTTTTTAAAAAATAGTGCTCGATACAAAAAGTAGAACATAAAATAATTATTTATTTAAAATATGATTTAACACGCTACATAAGAGTTCAGTTTCAAAACAAGAGCCGAAAACTTCAATATAATTATTTGAATTAAATTGAATTAAAGTAAGCTCTGTTCCATAAAAAAAAATTCGCTTGAAGATGGAACAGAGCTTAGTACTTTAATTTGAATAATTATATTAAGTTTTCGGCTCTTGTTTCGAAACATGAGAACTCTTATGTAGCGTGTTGGAATCATATTTTTAAATAAATAATATATATATATATATATATATATATATATATATATATATATGCCTTTTTCCCGATTCTTATTTTTTCTATACAACATACAGAATCTTTATGACAATTTCATTTTTACTCTTACATATATATATATATATATATATATATATATATATATATATATATATAGATCATTAAATCAGTTGCCTGATACAGTTATTAGAATAATTTTATTTGAAATTATACGAATGATTAATTCACAATTAGCAATTAATTTGTAAGCAACTGAAAATATGTAACGACGTAATATAGCTTTCCTCTGCCTTTTCTATAAATATTTTCATGGAAATTGTTTTGATGAGCTTTCTTCTTTCATCCGCAAACTTATTAATGTAAGGTTGGCAGTTAGGTCTCATAATTTTACTGTTGAAATAGCTCAATGTAACCGTAAGTTCTATGCTAACAGTTTCTTCTCTTGAGCGTTCCGTTTTGGAATTTTCTTCTGGCTTCCGGTCAACTTTGATTTTATAAAAATTTAAATGCAATATCTATCATTATCTTCTTTAAGGTAAGGCTGCAAGAACATCTTAAAGCCATAACAAGAGGGGAAATGGAAAAATCATGCGTAGCTGACCACATAGGGAGGGAAAAGGGAGATCAGCACACGATATGAGATGAAGTTGAAATAATAAACAGATAATATCAGGGGAAAATACGAAAACTTAAGGAATCAGCGCATAGGCTAGGCCACAAAAATCTCCTGAGCCGACCAAGCATAGAAATGAATACAATAAACCAGTAATAAAGAGTGCTAGAGAAAAGCAATACGAACAAAATTGCAATATGAGCACTGGTTAAAATTTTTTACTGAGACATTAAGTGTCCAAAATTCATATCCTGATGTCCTCAAGGACACAGGGTTTAGTGGATAAAAGCGTAGGTTGGATCCAGTGACTTGACCTAAAGAGTTCAATACCTGGCTACGACAGTGGTGAACAAAAAACTTGGAGAGTTGAGTTATAAGGGTTCAGTTCGAAATCCTAATCGCATAAAAAGTTCGTGCATTCAACGGCAGAATCGCCGTAAATCTTTATTACTATAAACGTCTGTGAACGTTGCTTGTGTGTTTGTCAGAAGTTATATATAGAGAGAGGGTGAAAGAAAGATATGAATTTATTATCGCGTATGAAGCCAGGCGAGAGAAGGAAATCGAGAAAAAATCTCTCTCTTTCCACCCACCTGTCTCTCTTTCCACCCACCTCTCTCTCGCTTTCCACCCACATCTCTCTCTCTTTCTACCTCTCTCTCTCTTTCCATCTCTCTCTCAGTCCACTTCTCTCTCTTTCCATCTCTCTGTCTCTTCCCACCTCTTTCTTTCCACCTCTCTCTTTCCACCTCTCTCCTTCCACCCTCTCTCTTTACACTTCTCTCTTTCCACCTTTCCGTGATTGCGTGTTTGCTTATTTATATTTCAACTTTTTTCAAACAGGCATTTTTTTTAATGTTGAAAGCAACCTGTTTTATAATCTGAACATTCAACGGATATATATATATATATATATATATATATATATATATATATATACGATTTGTTTATACAGTAAGTATTTTTATTTCAACTTTCTTCAAACAGAAGAACCTTGAGATGCATAGCAGGAGCACCAGACCAGATATGATTTAGGTTTATTTCATTTTACGGCATATAAACTTCAATGGGTTATTTAATACTAACAAGATTTTTAGGATAGGTTCGTATGAATAGAATATGTATTCTTTGTAAAAAAACTCAGTTGTAGACAATTTTTTAAGGTTGAAAGAAATTTCAAGAACTTTAAATAAATGTATTTTTGAAATATCTCACCATGAAACTAAATGTAAACAGTAAAAAAACAAGGTTGACCAAACAGGTCACGGGTGGTCTAGTATGGTAATAAAGATGAGGGCAACAGTCCGGACAAAGTAAAAAAAAAACAAACGTATCTTCTTAATTCTTGTTCTTTTATTGTCATCTCTCCTTAATAACGTTTTGCTTTTTCTCATATTCTTTCACACTCAGTCTTAGTGATTTTATTGCTTTACTTGGGGTGAAATGATTACAAAAAAACAAAGAAAAGAAAAAAAGAAACATTGTAACGAAAAATAAATGCCTTTTCAGCATACCATTCGTCTATGCATTGAATACTGCTGACATATCTGGGTATGACGATAAACTATATCCGGCAGCAAGGCTTCTAATTAGGTGGTTTTGAGGAACGTGAAACCACCTCTTAATTGACCTGGGGTGGTAGCACCTGTTAGGGTCCCAGCTATGGGCAAACTGGGGTCAAAAGACTATGAAAGTATAAAAAAAGATTTTTATAGTAGAAATACCAGCAATATATTTTTGAAAAAAAGTTATTAACAGTAATAAATTTTTGTAAAAATGAAAAAAAAAATATTACCAGCAATAGATTAAAAAAAATATTACCAGCAATAAATTAAAAAAAAAATATTGCCAGCAGTACATTTGACTCTCAACAAAATCCTGCTTTACAAACACACATCAATGAAACCTGGTCTACAACTGATTTCTTACAACGAATACATATTCTATTCATACGAACCTATCCTAAAAATCTTGTCGGTATTAAATAACCCATTGAGGTGTTGATATGCTTTAAAACAAAATAAACCGTATCTGGTCTGTTTCTTCTGCTATTCATCTCGAGGTTCTTGACAAAATCCAAAGAAGGATCTGTAATGTAAATCTTACTATTTAACCCAAAGCTCGGGGGAGAAGAGGTGGATTCATGACTTTACCAAGTGTATTTCCGCATAACTGAATATAACAAACACAGCTGGAATTAGAACTCGGCTCTCCGATTAATAATTCGGAACCGTTTTCCATTTACACCATCCGTGTATCCAAGCTTACAACACCTAATATTCCCAAGCGGTCACCCATCTAAGTACTGAGCAGGCTCGACGTTGCTTTTCGCTGATCGAACGAGAACCGGATTTTCAATGTGATATCTCCTTAAGCTTAAATAGTCATTTTTTGCTGTATACGATCGAAATTCTTATTAAATAAAATATACCTCTTGTCGGGTGTCGACGGTTTATTCCCATTATCCTGGTGAAAGCACATTTTAACAGCGGGTTGATTTAACATTTCGTCCACAGTTTCGCTTCATTTCTCCTTTTAAAGAAAAGCATGTCTATCGTGGGATTTAGCCCACCGATGGTGATTTGCTAAGCGTTGCTTATATGTGGTACAAGGCCGAAAGTTTGTGGTAGCCAGTGAGGATCGAACTCACTATTCTGTCGTAATTGTTCTAGCGAGACAAGCTTACTAGACTTTACACCACGTCAAAGTGCCTAACCGCAAGTGAGTGAGAAAAGAGTTTTATTAATAAAAATATGATAGGTCATGTGTGCAGTAAATCTGAGACTGTCAGTGAAGTCATTATATATGAGAATAATTTGGCTCCTGTCAAACATTAAGCGTTTTGCATTTTTCTATTCTTTTTCATTTTTCTTCAGTTGAGAGAGAGAGAGAGAGAGAGAGAGAGAGAGAGAGAGAGAGAGAGAGAATGAAAAGAAAATATGTTTTGTGCCGAGCCATCGTTTGTGACGACTGTCGTTGTCGTTCGTGGTTCAATTGAATATTACGAGGACTTTTGTCTGCCGTGACTAGCGTACCCACTCCAAATTGACAGCTCCACAATGCTTGTCAGTAACGATCTTGTAGTTTTTGTTTTTTTTTTTTTTTGCCTGTGAACAAGGGCCGGTGAAAACTTGTTCACTCTTTTGAACAATAAAAGAACGAAAAGCGCTTCTCTCGTGCGAGAAGTGCCCGCCTGAAAAGAAAGATGTTTGTCGTCCGTTGCGCGCGTCGAACTCGAATCGGAGGTGATTTAAAGAGGTAGATAGAAAGGAAGCTGACGTAGATGATCACTGGTAGTCGCCTTCAGCTGATTATTGTATAACATACATACATTGACGTCCCATTATCTCCCTATTCTAAGTAAATGATGTCTTATTAGAACACCGTTGTTTTGTTTTGTCTATTCTTGAGAGAACGTAACGATATTGACAATCGTGCATGTTGAGGTATTTAAAGCGAGTTCAGCACTTTACATGAGCTTGACCGAAATTTGAACTCGGCACGTCGATTCCATTTTCTGCGTTGTTAAACGCTACGCACATGGCTTTAATTGGCGTGTTAAACATGTGCTCCTGGTTTGGTTTGGTTTGGTTTATTTTACGGTATATCAACCTCAATGGCTTATTTAATGCCGATAAGATTTTTTATTGCTGGTAATATTTTTTCCCAAAAATGTATTGCTGGCAATATTTTTTTTTTTTTAATTTATTTCTGGTAATATTTTTCTTTTCAGAAATGTACTGCTGGTAATAATTTTTCCAAAAAAGTATTGCTGGTATTAAAACCTATTTATTTACTTTAATTTGGTCCTTTTGGGGGGGTAACTATTTTCCCATAGCTGGGACCCTGATAGTGCTACCACCCCAAGTCAGAGTGAACCTAGGAAAACCAGAAATTAAGAGGTTGTTCCATGCTCCTCAAAACATTCTGATCAAAAGGCTTGCTGTCGGATGTAGTTTATCGTCTTACCCAGGAGGTGGATGTAGTTTATTGTCTTATCAAGCACGCAGATGTAGTTTATCGTCTTACCCATGTCGGGGATCGAGTTTATTGCCTTACACAGGGCGCGGATGTAGTTTATCGTCTTACCAAAGACGCGGATGTAGTTTATTGTCTTACCCAGGAGGCAGATGTAGTTTATCGTCTTACCCAGGACGCGGATGTAGTTTATTGTCTTACCCAGGTCGCGGATCTAGTTTATCGTCTTACACAGGGCGCGGATGTAGTTTATCGTCTTACTCAAGGCGCGGATGTAGTTTATCGTCTTACCCAGGACAGAATGTGCTCTTGGTCTTGGTCAAGGGAGAGAATCGTTCTCAACAGTGATTGGCAGTTTTAATTAGCGAAATTAAGGAGGAATTATAATGCAAATTAAATATGTTCTTTTGTACGCGTGAAACTCACTATAAGTAAAACTTGTAGTCGATCGATTAATTTATTGATAGCACTTCGAGTAAGGGCAGTGTTTAAAAATCAGTTTTATTATAAAACGTTCTTTAGGTAGAATTTCAAGAAGATCTTTCGTAGGGAACCATTTATAAACATTATTAATTTATTGATATGGGGCTTATATCATGGATTAATTTTTACGGCTTATCAACCTTTTGCAGGTAATTTAAAGCAGAAAATAGTTTTAGATTATTAGAAATTTCCTGAGATAAAAATCATTTACTGATACAATTCATACTAATTAACCCATAGCTGGGGGGTAGGGAGAAAATCACGAGATATCTTCCCCAAGGGTATTTGCGCCCGAATGAATATAACGGACCCGACTGGAATTGGAACTCAGTTCCGAGCCGTTATCCATTACACCAGCCGTACGTCCAAACTCATCATACCTGGTATTCCCAAGCGGTCACCCATCTAGATATACTGACCAGGCTCGACGCTGCTTAACTTCTATGATTGTACGAGAACCGATGCTTCAACATAATATAGTAGGCGCTGATATAATTATTTAATAAGAAAAATATTTGTGTCGCATATTGACGCAGTGAATGGAAGTTCTGCTTTCAGGTTTCCGATCGAGGGTACTTCCAAATATCTAAATATAAATGCCAAGAGTTAAACACGACCAAATATATATATATATATATATATATATATATATATATATATATATATATATATATATATATATATATATATGTGTGTGTGTGTGTGTGTGTGTGTGTGTGTGTGTGTGTGTGTGTTCTGTCATATACATTCTGTGGTAAAATTATATAGACTGGTTCAATCGTAAAAAATAGGGAAAAAACATTTTTTTTAGAAATCATTAAATTTGTAAATCCGCTTAAAGGGTATAATTCTAGTTTTCTGGAGGCTTATAAAAACCATATAAAACAGTTCATCCATCTTTCTGTCATCTTCATGGAAATATGGACTCAGATGGTGAAAAGTAGGGAGGACGAAATGGCGTATATGTGATTGAATAAATCTATTTCCAAACATCTAAAAAGTGAGAATTTCATTTAAAATCATTATGAACCTTTCTTCCGATCCACCCAGTATATAATAATAATAATAATCGATAAGCCCTAACGAATTACGTAAAATTCCTGGAATTGAATTTAACTCGTTTAAAGGTGAGTGTACATATATCTATCTATCTATCTATCTATCTATCTATCTATATATATATATATATATATATATATATTACACAGCAAAAAATTCCAAAATTACCTAATGTGTGTATAAATTTATTTCAAGTAACTATAATTACGCTGTTTATATTCAACCCTGGTGAATAGATAGTTTGTATCGGAATCTAGATTTAGAATTTAACTTAGAAGTCGAGAAATATATATATATATATATATATATATATATATATATATATATATATATCATTATTTATTTAAAAATATGATTCCAACACGCTCGCGCACTATTTTTGGAAAATAATAAAAAAAAATACTAAAGAACTTTGGATTATTTACCTAACGAGTTCTTTCCTATTTTCTATATATTTTCACATTCAAACACACACACACACACACACACACACACACACACACACACACATATATATATATATATATATATATATATATTATGTGTAGATAGGTTTTATTAAACACCCAATTTTTTAAAACGGTGTGAGTTACGTCTTCCGGCATTTTAGATACTTAATGTGCGCTCCTGCTGTGTACGAATCTACGCCTTCCTGTGTTGGAGAACCCACGGGCTGATCCGATGTGCACTTCGTGCCTGAGCGTTATAAGCTTGACGGATCAGCCAGTAGTACACAGACGTAAGCAGGTTCGAACCTATCCGGAGATCACACATTCTTCATTCTGTCTCTAAAATTTGCCGGCGGATAGAAGTAATTCACACTGTTGAAAGCAAAAGGGCGTTTCCTCAAACACAGACATCGAAAAATAACGTTTGGACTAGTAAGAAATATTGCCGGGTAAAAATTCATAGGTTTCTTAGAAACTACTTTACATACATACATACATATATATATATATATATATATATATATATATATATATATATATATATACTAGCAGTAGAGCCCGGCGTTGCCCGGGGATGTAACAGTATCGACCATCATAAAGACTGAAAAATAAAATTGACAAAGATTATTGTTTAAGGTTGACGGACACCCATGTCTTAATTAGTTCTTTTTTTGTTTTTGGGTTTTTTTTTACGAATTGGTCAAACCCAAACTCAAACAAAAACATTATTTTCAATCGTTATGAGTCTATCGATTGAATAGAATTTTATTATAAACAATTGTCTTGTAAATGGAATTTTTAAAGCAGTCTGAATGTAAAAAATAAAGAAAAAAGTGTGCAAAACAATAAGAAACACTACCTGCCAAAAAAAGTGAAGTTTTGTTGAAATTGGTTGAAAAATGTAGGAAATCCGATCCCATGTATAAACGATCACACACAAACAACCTGGGTTTTATAAGTATAACTCGATATGAGTTGTACCCCCTTCATTCTGGCGACAGAGTCGTGTTTTATCGTGTTTTCAAATTGGTTTTGTGCAAAAACAATTGTGTTTTTCCAATTTTTGGCGCTGTCAGAACCACCGCAAGGTAATTTTACGTAGTCCTGTGAAGTTTTGTTGAAATTGGTTGAAAAATGTAGGAAATCCGGTCCAATATATAAACGTACAGACACACACACAATCTGCATTTTATAATAAGTAAGATTATATATATATATATATATATATATATATATATATATATAAAGGCCAAATGGGGGAACTAGACGTCTGGGCAGCCCTCGTTCTCTATATATTCCACCCAGGCTTGTAGCACCGTGCTACTCCATCATAGTGTCTCAAGACGGACGGATGCCGCTGACGACGACATATATATATATATATATATAT